ACCCTAACGAGATGTTAACCACCTCGCCTGGTACACAAGAGGTCGTGGGTTCGATCCCGACCCTGATGAGATGTTAACCAACTTGCCTAATACGCAGGAGGTCGTGGGCTCGATCCCGACCCTGACGATGCCTGCTGCTGCTGCTGTATAGCTGCAGTCTGATGTTCTGTCCCCATGGTGGTCACCGCGTGGATTCTTCTCCGGGTCCTCCAGATTTTCCCCTCCACGTTTAGAATCGGCGTCACGCACTTCGAGTGTTTGACTGTCGCTATTAATGTCTACATGGGTCTATGGGTCTCTGCGGGTCTATGGGTCTCTGTGGGTCTATGGGTCTCTGTGGGTCTATGGGTCTCTGTGGGTCTATGGGTCTCTGCGGTTCTATGGGTCTCTATGAGTATGGGTCTCTGTGGGTCTGATTATGACAATAATGATGATGACAATGACGATGAGGATGACGACGACGATGATGACGACGATGATGACGATGATGACGATGATGACAATGATGACAATGATGACGACGACGATGATGATGACGACGATGACAATGACGACGACGATGATGATGATGACGATGACGACAATGATGACAATAATGACGATGCGCTGCTGTGGTGCTGCTGCCTCTCACTCCACATAGCGGAGTCATCATCATCGTCGTCACCGCTCACCAAGACCTTTGGAGAGAGGACGGAGGTGGTGGAGGTGGCGGAGACGCAGAAGGAGGATAAAGAGGAGAAGGAGGAAAAGGAGAAGAGGGGGCGAGGGGTCATGGCGCGTGTGGGCAGGGCGCTACGCTCAGTCCGCTCAGTCCGCTCAGTCCGCTCAGTCCGCTCGCTCCTCAGCCGTCTGCTGCTCTGTGGTGGGCGGCCCACGGCAGAGTAGCGGAGTGGGCCCACACTCACCACACTCACTCACCACCCACACTCACCACCCTCACTCACCACCCACACTCACCACACTCACTCACCACCCACACTCACCACCCATACTCACCAGCCACACTCACCACCCACACTCACCACCCACACTCACCACCCACACTCACCACCCACACTCGCCACACTCACCACCCACACTCACCACACACACTCACCACACTCACCACCCACACTCACCACCCACACTCACCACCCACACTCACCACCCACACTCACCACCCACACTCACCACCCATACTCACCAGCCACACTCACCACCCACACTCACCACCCACACTCACCACCCACACTCGCCACACTCACCACCCACACTCACCACACACACTCACCACACTCACCACCCACACTCACCACCCACACTCACCACCCACACTCACCACCCACACTCACTACCCACTCACCACACACTCACCACCCACACTCACCACCTACACTCATCACCCACACTCCCTCACCACCCACACTCACCACCCACACTCACCACCCACACTCACTACCCACTCACCACACACACTCACCACCCACACTCACCACCTACACTCATCACCCACACTCCCTCACCACCCACACTCACCACCCACACTCACCACACTCACCACCCACACTCACCACACACACTCACCACCTACACTCACCACACTCATCACCCACACTCCCTCACCACCCACACTCACCACCCACACTCACCACACTCACTCACCACCCATACTCACCACACTCACCACCCACACTCACCACCCACACTCACCACCCATACTCACCACACTCACCAGCCACACTCACCAGCCACACTCACCAGCCACACTCACCAGCCACACTCACCACACTCCCCACCCACACTCCCCACCCACCCCACCCACACTCCCCACCCACACTCCCCACCCACACTCCCCACCCACACTCACCACCCATACTCACCACACTCACCACCCACACGCACCACCCACACTCACCACCCACACTCACCACACTCCCCACCCACACTCCCCACCCACCCCACCCACCCCACCCACACTCCCCACCCACACTCCCCACCCACACTCCCCACCCACACTCACCACCCACACTCACCACCCACACTCACCACCCACACTCTCCACACACTCACCACCCACACTCACCACACTCACTCACCACCCACACTCACCACCCACACTCACTCACCACCCACACTCACTCACCACTCACTCACCACCCACACTCACTCACCACTCACACTCACCACCCACACTCACCACCCACACTCACCACACTCACCACCCACACTCACCACACTCACCACCCACACTCGCCACCCACACTCACCACCCACACTCGCCACCCACACTCACCACACCACCCACACTCACCACACCACCCACACTCACCACACTCACCACCCACACTCACCACCCACACTCACCACACACACCCACCACACACACTCACCACCCACACTCACCACCCACACTCCCCACACTCACTCACCACCCACACTCACCACACACTCACCACACTCACCACCCACACTCACCACCCACCACCCAGACTCACCACACACACTCACCACATACACTCACCACTCACACACACTCACCACTCACACTCACCACCCACACTCACCACACTCACTCACCACACTCACCACCCACACTCACCACCCACACTCACCACCCACACTCACCACTCACACTCACCACACACACTCACCACGCACACTCACCACCAACACTCACCACACCACCTACACTCACCACCCACACTCACCACACCACCCACACTCACCACCAGTACTCACCAACCTGTACTCACCACACACACTCACCACCCACACTCACCACCCATACTCACCACACCACCTACACTCACCACACCACCCACACTCACCACCCGTACTCACCACCCGTACTCACCACCCACACTCACCACCCACACTCACCACCCGTACTCACCACCCGCACTCACCACCCACACTCACCATCCACACTCACCACCCACACTCACCACACTCACTCACCACCCACACCACCCACCCACACTCACCACACCACCCACCCTCACCACCCACACTCACCACTCACACTCACCACCCACACTCACCACTCGTACTCACCACCCACACTCACCACACCCACCACACAATGGACTAGAGCCTGCCTAGCCACGTGTACGTGTGAAGAATTAGGATAGAGATAAGATAAAGTTATAATGTAATAATGTGTACATATACATCTAGACCATTGTTTGTTTATCGATTGTTGTTGTTGCTAATAAATAAGCTGACACAACAGAACGTTGCAATTGTGTCCGTGACCTCCTCCTGCACCTAGCCTGGCACAGCAGTCAACCAATGGCACCTGCTGGGTCTGTCCCGTGACCTCCTCCTGCACCTAGCCTGGCACAGCAGTCAACCCATGGCACCTGCAGGGTCTGTCACGTGACCTCCTCCTCCTGCACCTAGCCTGGCACAGCAGTCAACCCATGGCACCTGCAGGGTCTGTCCCGTGACCTCCTCCTCCTGCACCTAGCCTGGCACAGTAGGAGGGTACAGCTGGTGGTGCATCTACCGGTCATCTCAGTCAGCCAACCCATGGCATCTGCTGGGTCTGTCCTGTGATCTTCTGCACCTAGCCTGGCACAGTAGTCAACCCATGGCACCTGCTGGGTCTGTCCCGTGACCTCCTCCTCCTGCACCTAGCCTGGCACAGCAGTCAACCCATGGCACCTCACCACACAGACCCACAGACCCATCACACAGAGACCCACAGACTCACCTCACACAGAGACCCACAGACTCACCACACAGAGACCCACAGACTCACCACACAGAGACCCACAGACTCACCACACAGACTCACCACACAGAGACCCACAGACTCACCACACTCACCACACAGAGACCCACAGACTCACCACACAGACTCACCACTCAGAGACCCACACACTCACCACACTCAGAGACCCACACACTCACCACACACAGAGACCCACAAACTCACACAGAGACCCACAGACTCACCCCACACAGAGACCCACAGACTCACCCCACACAGAGACCCAGAGACTCACCACTCAGAGACCCACACACTCACCACACACAGAGACCCACAAACTCACACAGAGACCCACAGACTCACCCCACACAGAGACCCACAGACTCACCCCACACAGAGACCCAGAGACTCACCACACAGAGACCCACAGACTCACCACACATAGAGACCCACAGACTCACCACACAGAGACCCACAGACTCACCACACAGAGACCCACAGACTCACCACACAGAGACCCACAGACTCACCTCACAGAGACCCACAGACTCACTCACACAGAGACCCACAGACTCACCACACAGAGACCCACAGACTCACCACACAGAGACCCACAGACTCACCTCACAGAGACCCACAGACTCATCACACAGAGACCCACAGACTCACCTCACACAGAGACCCACAGACTCACCACACAGAGACCCACAGACTCACCACACAGAGACCCACAGACTCACCACACAGAGACCCACAGACTCACCACACAGAGACCCACAGACTCACCACACAGAGACCCACAGACTCACCTCACACAGACACCCACAGACTCACCACACAGAGACCCACAGACACACACAGAGACCCACAGACTCATCACACAGAGACCCACAGACTCACCACACAGAGACCCACAGACTCACCACACAGAGACCCACAGATTCACCACACAGAGACCCACAGACTCACCACACAGAGACCCACAGATTCACCACACAGAGACCCACAGACTCACCACACACAGAGCCGCGTGTCGGCTTCTTCAGGCTGAGTCGACCTCGAGGAGGCCCAGACAGGCTTCAGATTTTTCCCGCCAACGCCGCCATTGACCCCGACCGGAAGCGGAAGTAGAATCTGGGGGTGGAGGTGGGGGGGGGCGGGAGGCGACTTCCGGGGGCGTGGTCGCGCGCCGTGACGTCACTCGGAGGGGCGTGGCTTAAGGGGGCGTGGTCACGCCCCTCGCACTGAGACGTCACCGGTGACGTCGAAATCGCCACGTGCTTCCTCAGAGTTGTAGACGCGCGTGAAGGAGACGGCAGCTTCTTACACTTGCAGCTGCTGCAGCTTCGTCATCGTCGCCTTTCCAACGACTTCTGCTGAAGCCATCCGAGCGAAACGTTTGACGAGGTGAGTTTTGTGGGTTCGTGGTGAGTGTGTGGTGAGTGTTGTGGGTTCGTGGTGAGTGTGTGGGTCCGTGTTGTGGGTGCGTGGTGAGTGTGTGGGTCCGTGTCGTGGGTTCGTGGTGAGTGTGTGGGTCCGTGTTGTGTGTTCGTGGTGAGTGTGTGGGTCCGTATTGTGGGTTCGTGGTGAGTTTGTGGGTCCGTTTTGTGGGTTCGTGGTGAGTTTGTGGGTTCGTGTTGTGGGTGCGTGGTGAGTGTGTGGGTCTGTGTTGTGTGTTCGTGGTGAGTGTGTGGGTCCGTGTTGTGGGTGCGTGGTGAGTGTGTGGGTCCGTGTTGTGGGTGCGTGGTGAGTGTGTGGGTCCGTATTGTGGGTTCGTGGTGAGTTTGTGGGTCCGTTTTGTGGGTTCATGGTGAGTTTGTGGGTCCGTGTTGTGGGTGCGTGGTGAGTGTGTGGGTCTGTGTTGTGTGTTCGTGGTGAGTGTGTGGGTCCGTGTTGTGGGTGCGTGGTGAGTGTGTGGGTCCGTGTTGTGGGTGCGTGGTGAGTGTGTGGGTACGTGTTGTGTGTTCGTGGTGAGTGTGTGGGTCCGTGTTTTGGGTTCATGGTGAGTGTGTGGGTCCGTGTTGTGGGTTCGTGGTGAGTGTGTAGGTCCGTGTTTTGGGTTCGTGGTGAGTGTGTGGGTCCGTGGTGAGTTTGTGGGTCCATATTTTGAGTTTGTATTGAGGATGTGAGTCCGTGTTTTGAGTTCGTGGTGAGGATAGGGGTTCGTGGTGAGAATGGTGGGTTCCTGGTGGGGGGATGTGTGACAGTGGTGAGGATGTGAGTTCGTGTTGTGACTCTCTACACCATCTCCACCCCCTTCCCCCCCTCCCACAGCTTTCCACACAGAGACCTTGGAGACTGCTGCGTGAGAGAAGCCACTCTGAGCATCAACACCATGGATGTACGCATGGGCCCCGACTCTCCACTTACAAACACCACCCACACTTACCAACACCACCAGCACTTACCAACACCACCCTCACTTACCAACATCACCTTCACTCACAAACACCACCCACACTCACAAACACCACCCTCACTTACCAACACCACCCTCACTCACAAACACCACCCTCACTCACAAACACCACCCTCACTTACCAACACCACCCACACTTACCAACACCACCCACACTTACCAACACCACCCACACTCACAAACACCACCCACACTCACCAACACCACCCTCAATTACCAACACCACCCACACTTACCAACACCACCCACACTCACAAACACCACCCACAATTACCAACACCACCTTCACTTACCAACACCACCCTCACTTACCAACACCACCCACACTCACAAACACCACCCACACTTACCAACACCACCTTCACTTACCAACACCACCCACACTTACCAACACCACCCACACTCACAAACACCACCCACACTCACAAACACCACCCACACTCACAAACACCACCCACACTTAAGAACACAGCCATCCCTTACAAACACCACCCACACTTATGATCACCACCCACACTTATGAACACCACCATCCCTTATGAACACCACCAGCACTAAACTGGCCCTGGGCCTCCCCCAGGTCGACTCAGCCTTAAATGAGTACCTGGTACGGTGTGTAAACATCGCCACTGGGGAGACAAAGGCGGTCGAGCGTGGTGCTGGCCACCCACCCCCTCGTGTACCGTGCCGACCTTCATAGGTGATGCTCGCTAACAGCACTTGCCCCTATAGTCTGTTAAGGCTACACGGGGGATCTTTATCTTTGTCTCTGTGCGTGTAGACAAGCCAAGCTGGAGCGAGGAGGGAGGGAGTCTCTGGCAACACGTGGAGCGCGCTGTCCGCAGCCGGCACCGGCCCCATCCGCAGCAAATCGCCTCGAGGTGAGAACAGCAGTGAGAGAAAACATGGCCACGGTGAATGGGGGGGGGGAAGTCACTACCGCCATGTTGCATGGGGGACTTCACGGCGGCCATGTTGCTTAGGGGACTTTGTGGCAGCCATGTTGCATGGGGGACTTCATTGCGGCCATGTTGCATGGGGGCCGTCACTATGGCCATGTTACGTGGGGGATTACACGGCGGCCATGATGCATGGGGGTCTGTAGGGCGGCCATGTTGCATGAGGGATGTCACTGTGGCCATGTTGCATGGGGGAATTCTATTTTGTCCATTTTACATCAGGGATGTCACGGCAGCCATGTTGCATGGGGGATATCACAGCGGCCATGTTGCATGGGGGTTGTCATGGTGGCCATGTTGCATGGGGGATGTCATGGTGGCCATGTTGCATGGGGGATGTCACAGCAGCCATGTTGCATGGGTATAGAGTATTTGGCTGCCGCTATATATTTGCACGTGATGAAGATGATGATATTAGTAACTTGGGTAGGGCCTTACCTGCCAAGATAATAAATATTATAGTTTAATCTAAATTTGAAGTTTTCATGACTGCAGGGATCCATACTCGTTGGTTCTTTCGGCAAAGTAATGCCGGGGTCTCTGGATCTATATGAGTATGGGTCTCTATGGATCTATATGTGTATGGGTCTCTATGGTTCTATGAGTATGGGTTTCTGTGGGTCTCTGTGAGTATGGGTGGAGTGATGAGTCTCCACGTGATGATGACGACGATGTAGCTCTAGCGGTGGCCTTACCTGGCATGTAAACAAAACAAAATAGTTCAAAGTTTAAGTTGTTGTTGTCACGTGTGCAGCGATCCTGGATCTCTTTGGGCCTCAGCTGAGTCATCGCCAAAAGCTGGAGCTGGCGGCCATGGAACAAGTCTGGTTCTTCACTGTGGACGAGGTCGACAAACCCCGGGGCGGCAAGAACAATGATGGCTACGACGACGATAACAACAACTACATCCCTGTGAGGCTCACAGAGACACAGAGACACCCGTAGAGACCCACAGAGACACACACAGACACAGAGACACCCATAGAGACCCACAGAGACACACACAGAGACCCAGAGACACCCATAGAGACCCACAGAGACCCACACAGAGACCCACAGAGACACAGAGACACCCATAGAGACCCACAGAGACACACACAGAGACCCGCAGAGACACAGAGACACCCATAGAGACCCAAAGAGACACACACAGAGACACCCATAGAGACCCACAGAGACACCCATAGAGACTCACAGAGACACACACAGACACAGAGACACCCATAGAGACCCAAAGAGACACACACAGAGACCCAGAGACACCCATAGAGACCCACAGAGACCCACACAGAGACCCACAGAGACACAGAGACACCCATAGAGACCCACAGAGACACCCATAGAGACCCACAGAGACACACACAGAGGCCCACAGAGACACAGAGACACCCATAGAGACCCAAAGAGACACACACAGAGACCCAGAGACACCCATAGAGACCCACAGAGACACCCATAGAGACCCACAGAGACCCACTCCCATTGAGACCCACAGAGGCACCCAAAGAGACACCATTAGACACCCACAGAGGTTTTTGTTGGGTTAGAAGGCATGAGTATAAATGTGTAATTGTTAAATCTGCCACCACCACCAAACACAGACAGTCAGTTGAGATTCTGTTACGGGTTTCTGGGGTCTCTGTGGGTGTCTAAGGATCTGTGTGGGTCTTTATTGGTCTGGGTGTCTGTGGGTCTCTCAGGATCTGGGTTTCTGTGTATGTATTAAAGTTATTTCGCACCATATGAAGCAAACTTTCGCTAATCCACTCACAACAACGTCAGCCACGGTGGCCAGGAGATGTTAACTCCCTTTCTTGGTATACAGGAGGTCGTGGGTTCGATACCGACCCTGACGCCTGCTGCTGCATATTTGGAGTTTGTGTCTCTATCTCTCTGCCCGTGGTTGCGTGGATTTTTCCGGGTCCTCCGTTTTTAAATCCTTTATATTAAGTTTGCTTGCTTGCTTGCTTACGACCGTGCAAATCTTTCGGTCGTTTTTTAACCCACTTCCCGTGATCCAATCGAGCTGACATTTTCCACACAGACTCGTTGTGCGTGACAATTAATGTTCGTGAAAATGTTTTTCCAAAATTTTACACTTTTTAGGACAAAAATATAATATTTAATTACCAATTGCTTAATGGTTCAATGCAATCATCTGACCCATAGGTGGCAGCCATCTCAAGCCAGAGGACGAGAGTACTCTAGCCGCCACGCATAAAAAGGATTTATAGTGAAAAACTTTGTTTTTACGGGTTATACTTGTTTTTTCTTCCACATTTAGAAACAACGTCACCACACATTTAGAGCAATTGGCTTCCGCTACACATTTCCACACGGTGGTAATGAGAAGGCCCCACTTCGTTGAGCAATGATTTGTGATGGTCAGGTCGCTCTTGAAAAAGAAGAGCTACATAGCAGGTCAGTGGTGGGGCCTTTAACAGCGTAACAATAGGCTGTAGCCTTTCTGTAAATAAAACACATACTTGCGGTGAACATACAGACAGAAACATGCTCTGATAATATGTGGCATTGCCTTTGATACTGATTGGTCTACACCAAAGAAAGCAGCCTTTGTTAGGGCCTAGTCTCAATACCAGTGTCTCACCACCAGTGTCTCACCGCCAGTGTCTCACCGCCAGTGTCTCACCGCCAGTGTCTCACTACCCAGTGTCTTACTATTGAGGGTTAGATGGATAAACGCAAAAAGGCGGACAATCCCCCCAAGTTTTAACGGCATTCGGTATTCTTGGGTCTTTCGTTAAAGTCACGTAGACAGGTTCAAAGAAAATAATAAAAATAACAGTTAGACGACCGCTTGCGTTGCGATCGAAACGTCGTAGTTTTCTGTTATTTTTATTATTTTCTTTGAACTAATCTTTGTGACTTTACCGAAAGACCCAAACATATTAATTCCTGCAGTGACAAAAGCTTCAAGTGAAGCATTCGGTAAAGTCACGTATAAAGATAAAATAATAAATTAAATAATTGCATACAACGTTTCGATTGCAACGTCGTATGCTATTATTTAATTTATTATTTTATCTTTATACGTGACTTTACCGAAAGAACCAAAGAGTAATTCCTGCAGTCACGAAAGCTCCATATTAAGATTGAAGCATTCGGTAGTTTAACGAAACATTTAAACATTCGCGCAATCTAACACCCAAACGAAAAGAAACCTCCACTGTGGAAAATGGCGGCCGTGGAAAATGGCGGCCGTGGAAGCCCCGACTGCCGCTGCTGCCACCACCATTGAGCGTCAGGCGCTCCGATTGCGACGACTCTGACTACCGGTCCCTGCCTCCTCCTCCGCCTCCCCAGGTCCGCAAGGAGCAGCTCCACTACCGCTACGAGGTGCAGAAGCTGATCGGCGAGGGAGGCCAGGGCCTGGTGCTGCAGTGCCTCGACCACAAAACCAAAACGCTCGTGGCCGTCAAGATGCTGTCGCTGCCCTTGTGGTGAGTCCGCGGTTGCCCGCGCTCTCGGACAATAATCATCAAACGATTGGAGGCACCGCCGTGAACACGGCCACTGACTATGGACTCGCTGACAAAATGCTAACTGCCGTAAAACTGCTGCAAACTACACCCACAAAGACACCCAGAGACACCCACAGAGACCCACAGAGACACCCACAGAGACACCCACAGAGACACCCACAGAGACACCCACAGAGACACCCACAGAGAAACCCACACACAGAGACACCCACAGAGTCACCCACACAGAGTCACCCACACAGAGACACCCACACAGAGTCACCCACACAGAGTCACCCACACAGAGTCACCCACACAGAGTCACCCACACAGAGTCACCCACACAGACCCCCCCACACAGAGTCACCCACACATACCCCCCCACACAGAGTCACCCACACAGAGTCACCCACACAGAGTCACCCACACAGAGTCACCCACACAGAGTCACCCACACAGAGTCAGCCACACAGAGTCACCCACACAGAGTCACCGTTGATTTCGTGGCCTCCCCCCTCCCTCTACGCAGCACCTCGACAGCGTCCCGCCAGAGGACGGAGCTGGAGGTGACCAAGGAGCTGCAGGGCAAGGCCAGCGATGAGCGCTACGGAGTCATCCGGCTCCTGGACACGTTCCAATTCCGCGGACACAATTGCCTCGTCGTCGAGCTCTTGAAGTACGCGAACCTCCCCCCCTACCTCCCCTCCCCCACCCACGTGCGTGTCCATTGCTCCGCTTGATAGTTGATTTATTTCGGAATTCTAGATTTGAAGCTTTCGTGACTGCAAGGATTCATATTCTTAGGGTTTTTTCGGTAAAGTCACGTGGGAAAATGTTTTAAATTAATAAAAGTAAAATAAAATAAAAATTACGACGTTTCAGAGGCAACACAAGCTTCCGTCTTCAGGTGGAACCGTCACAGCACGACAGCTGTATCAAGTGAAGACAAATTAAATGTCACTTGATACAGCTGTCGTTATGTGACGGTTCCACCTGAAGACGGAAGCTTGTGTTGCCTCCGAAACGTCGTGATTTTTATGTTATTTTTATTTTATTAATTTTTTTTTTTACCTACGTGACTTTACCGAAAAAACCTAAGAATATAAATCTTTGCAGTCACGAAAGCTTCAAATCTAGAAGGTGTCAGTTTTGTTGCCAGATAGAAGGGTAAAAACCCAATTATCGTCGTCCTTGTCGTCGTTGTCGTCGTCACAGGAAGAGCCTCTACGACGTGATGAGCAAAGGGAGCATCAAGCGAATCTGCGTGAGGCGCTTGAGGGAGTACACCAGGACCATCCTCGACTTCCTGCTGTACGCCAAGCGACGGGGCATCGTCCACGGGGACATCAAGCCGGTGAGCGGAGCGGGGGCGGTGATCGCACCCTCTCACCGGGGACTCGGTTAGCTGGCGCCGAGGCAGCCCGGCCGCTGTTGATCGCGGGGTCGATGCGCTGGCTCCGTCCATCTGGAGGAAGGTGGTGGTAGTGGTGGTAGTGGTGGTAGTGGTGGGAGTGGTGGTAGTGGTGTTGGTGGTAGTGGTGGTGGTGGTAGTGGTAGTAGTGGTGGTGGTAGTAGTGGTGGTGGTGGTAGTGGTAGTAGTGGTGGGAGTGGTGGTAGTGGTGGTGGTAGTGGTGGTGGTAGTGGTGGTGGTGTTGGTGGTAATAGGGGTGGTGGTAGTGGTAGTAGTGGTGGGAGTGGTGGTAGTGGTGGTAGTGGTGGTAGTGGTGGTAGTGGTGGTGGTAGTGGTGGTGGTGGTGGTGGTAGTAGTGGTGGTGGTGGTGTTGGTGGTAGTAGTGGTAGTGGTGGGGTCACGGGTGCAACCGCAACAAACAAAAAACAAAAACATGAACAAGAAAACATCTTAAAGTGAATATGTGACTGAGTGCAAACAGAAAATCCAAGAAAAGACAGCAAAATATTGCAGAAAAAAACACCGTACACCAACGCTGTGTGCAAAAATCCCAGTGGGATGCAAGTCAAACAACAACAACATCCACAAGACAACTTAGATTAAGGCCATCAGTCTAACTCTGTACTACAACAAACAAACATGGCTAAACCAATACAATCACCAAAATAAAGCCATGAAACCAATGTAACAGTGATCATATGAACTGTGACCGAATTTTCACAATAAACGACGTCAACAACATGTACCACCAAACCCTGCAGCCATAGCTGGCTGCATGAGTCACTCCACAACAGCAGGAGCATCAGTCGAAGTGTCAACATTTTTCAATGCCCCTTTAAGATCAGCACACCAAATCAAAACACGGATCACACTTTGCAGCGATCACAAACAAACATGGCTAAACCAATACACTTTTCGAAATCACCAAAATAAAGCCATGAAAGCAATGAAACAGTGGTCATAGGAACTGTGACGAAATTTTCACAATAAATGGCAGCAACAACATGCACCACCAAAACCCTGCAGCCCGTGTGGGTGTCAATGCGTCACTTTGATTGACATACCCGCTACTGGCTGGACACTCTATTGCTGTAACCTCACAGAGTGGAATTCCTTCTGATAGACAGCCAGTTTTGTTTTACCAGGTTTAGTTTTTCTTTTTTTCACACTTTTGTTATGTAGGCTAGGCGTTAGTCACAAACCGCACCTCTCCATAATACAGGCTCAGTCTTTTGTTATGCAGTCTATTCTTAGTCTTAAGCCTCACCTTACCATATTAATAAAAAGTGTGCCGTTCCTGGCCCTTCCCCCTCAACCATTATATAAACGGAGTGGTATCTCTTGTAATCTCTCATTTACTTAATACAGCTGTCGTGGTTGTGACGGTTCCACCTGAAGACGGAAGCTTGTGTTGCCTCCGAAACGTCGTGATTTTTTATTTTATTTTACTTTTATTAATTTAAATTTTTTACCTACGTGACTTTACCGAAAAAACCTAAGAATATGAATCCTTGCAGTCACGAAAGCTTCAAATCTAGAATTAATTCTTTCTCCGTCTCTCCCCCTTTGTCCAGGACAACATTCTACTCACGGCGGCCGGCAAAGTGAGGGTCACCGACTTCGGGTGCAGCTGCTACCTGAAGTCTCACTGTGAGTGGCTTTGCGTGCGTGGAGATTTGTTTTTCAGGGTTAGTTCGCGTCAATGTCAACGTTGTGTCGTCCGACCCGCCGCCACCCGACGCAGCCACTCAGTGAGGTTCAGCGTCACGTGACCAGGACGCTCCAATTCGCTACTTGCACAGCGCCACCCGCTGTGCTGCAGAGCTCGCAAACGGGTTTTGATTCCTTACCCCTCGTACCCGTACCTGTACCCGGCCGCACCAGGGTCGCAAATGGGTTTCCCGTACCCATACCCGGCTGTACCCGTACCCGGCCAGGTAACGGGTAGGGTATGGGTATCGGGTACCCGATTGCGACCTCCTGGGATGAAGCCATGTTGCAGGCGCGGGTGGGTTGATTCTAGGAACTTGAATTGTGGGAAGAGACAAGACATTGGGAAATGAGTGACAAACGGTGACTCACCCAGTGACTCACGGTCTACCCGTACCCGTACCCGGCCGTACCCGTACCCGGCCGGGTAACGGGTAGGGTACGGGTATCGGGTACCCGATTGCGACCTCCTGGGATGAAGCCATGTTGCAGGCGCGGGTGGGTTAATTCTAGGAACTTGAATTGTGAGAAGAGACAAGACGTTGGGAAATGAGTGACAAACGGTGACTCACCGGTGACTCACGGCCTACCCATACCTGTACCCGGCCGCACCAGGGTCGCAAACGGCTACCCGTACCCGGCCGGGTTTCGGGTACAGGTACCCGTTTGCGACCCTGGTGCGGCCGGGTACGGGTACGGGTAAGGAATCAAAACCCGTTTGCGACCTCTGGGTGGTAGTGGTGGTGGTGGTAGTGGTGGTAGTGGTGGTAGTGGTGGTGGTAGTGGTGGTGGTGGTAGTAGTAGTGGTGGTTGTGGTGGTAGTGGTGGTAGTGGTGGTAGAGGTGGTGGTGGTGGTAGTGGTGGTGGTGGTGGTAGTGGTAGTGGTGGGGTCACGGTACCTCTGGTGAAGACAATCTGGGACGACCTCTACTTCATATTCATTGTCGTTGTTGTTGTCATTGTTGTTGCTGCTGTTGTTGTTGTTGTGCAGCCCAAACCGTGGGTGGGACGTTGCCCTACATGTCCCCGGAGCTGCCGCTGGGCTACCAGGTCACGTGTGCCGTGGACATGTGGGCGCTGGGCTGCACCGTGGCCGAGATGGCCACCGGCAAGGTTCTCTTTGACTCGCGCACCTACGAAGAGCACCTGCACTGCTGCATCGAGGTACGGGCTGTGGGTGGGTACGGTGGGTGGTGTGAGTACAGTGGGTGGGTGGGTAAGGTGGATGGGTGGGTATGGTGGGTGGGTACGGTGGGTATGGTGGGTGGGTATGGTGGGTGGGTACGGTGGGTATGGTGGGTGGGCAGGCAGGTCTCTATGGGTATGGGTCTCTGTTGGTCTGCACAGAGACCCACACTCATAGAGACCCATACAGACCCACAGAGACCCACACTCATAGAGACCCAGACACAGAGACTCATACTCATAGAGACCCATACAGACCCACGGAGACCCATACTCATAGAGACCCATGCAGACACAGAGACTCATACTCATAGAGACCCATACAGACCCGCGGAGACCCATACTCATAGACCCATACAGACCCACAGAGACCCATACTCATAGAGACCCATACAGACCCGCGGAGACCCATACTCATAGACCCATACAGACCCACAGAGACTCATACTCATAGAGACCCATGCAGACACAGAGACTCATACTCATAGAGACCCATACAGACCCACAGAGACCCACACTCATAGACCCATACAGACCCACAGAGACCCATACTCATAGAGACCCATGCAGACCCACAGAGACCCACACTCATAGAGACCCATACAGACCCATGCTCATAGAGACCCATACAGACACAGAGACCCATACTCATAGAGACCCATACAGACCCACAGAGACCCATACAGACCCATACAGACCCACAGAGATCCATACTCATAGAGACCCATACAGACCCACAGAGACCCATACTCATAGAGACCATACAGACCCACAGAGACCCATACTCAGAGACCCATACAGACCCACAGAGACCCATACCCATAGAGACCCATACAGACCCACAGAGACCCATACTCATAGAGACCCATACAGACCCACAGAGACCCATACTCATAGAGACCCATACAGACCCACAGAGACCCATACTCATAGAGACCCATACAGACCCACAGAGACCCATACTCATAGAGACCCATACAGACCCACAGAGACCCATACTCATACAGACCCACAGAGACCCATACAGACCCACAGAGACCCATACAGACCCACAGAGACCCACACTCATAGAGACCCATACAGACCCACAGAGACCCATACTCAGAGACCCATACAGACCCACAGAGACCCATACTCATAGAGACCCATACAGACCCACAGAGACCCATACATACCCATACAGACCCACAGAGACCCATACAGACCCACAGAGACCCATACAGACCCACAGAGACCCATACCCATACAGACCCATACAGACCCACAGAGACCCATACAGACCCATACAGACCCACAGAGACCCATAAAGACCCACAGAGACCCATACAGACCCACAGAGACCCATACAGACCCACAGAGACCCACACTCATAGAGACCCATACAGACCCACAGAGACCCATACTCATAGAGACCCATACAGACCCACAGAGACCCACAGAGACCCATACAGACCCACAGAGACCCATACTCATAGAATTTGATTCCCTTTCACGGCCACAATGGGCCCGCTGAGGCTACACCGGCTGTAACCCCCCCTCCTCCTCCCCCTCCTCCCCCTCCTCCCCCTCCCCCTCCTCCTCCTTTTGTCTTCGTCTGAAACCACGTGCAGATCCTGGGCATGCCCCCGACAAAGATGGTGGACGAAGCCCCTAACAGGACACTTTACTTTGGTGAGTCGAAGGCTCGGGCAGGCTGGCGTGTGAGTGAGCGGGTGGATGGGTAGGTGAGTGGGTGGGTGGGTGAGTGGGTGAATGGGTGGGTGGGTGAGTTGGTGGGTGAGTGGCTGGGTGAGTGAGTTGTTGGGTAGGTGAGTAGGTAGGTGAGTGGGTGAGTGGGTGAGTGGGTGAATGGGTGGATGAGTTAGTTGTTGGGTAGGTGAGTAGGTAGGTGAGTGGGTGGGTGGGTGAGTGAGTGGGTGGGTGAGTGAGTGGGTGGGTGGGTTAGTTGGTATGTAGGTGGATAGGAAGGTGGGTAGTTAAGGGGATGAGTGGTCAAATTACTTTGGTGAGTCGAAGGCTCGGGCAGGCTGGCGCCAGCGACGTAACCCATTCCGTCTTGTTAGCTGGGGTGGCAGGGAGGCTCTTATAGGGTTCATTTGTGGGGGGGGTTGGGGGGGGGCTGGGGGGGGGGTCTCTGAATATGCCGGAGGTGGGGAATGGGGTGGGGTTTGGGGCTTTCTGTAGCGGTCGCTAGGAAGCATAGGTGGGTGTGTGTGAGCAGGTGGGTGTGTAGGTGAGTAGGTGGGTGAGTGGGTGGGTGAGTGGGTGAGTGGGTGGGTGGGTGAGTGGGTGAGTGGGTGGGTGAGTGAGTGGGTGGGTGGGTGGGTGGGTTAGTGGGTGGGTAGGTGAGTAGGTAGGTGAGTGGGTGGGTGAGTGGGTGGGTAGGTAGGTGGGTGGGGAGGTGAGTGGGTGGGTGAGTGGGCGAGTGGTTGGGTAGGTGAGTAGGTAGGGGAGTGGGTGGGTGAGTGAGTAAGATAGTGGGTGGGTGAGTTGGTATGTAGGTGTATATGAAGGTGGGTAGTCAAGTGTCTGACTGGGTATGTGGGCGACGTGCTGGCGGGTGACTCTGCGTGCGTCTCTCTGTCTCTCTGCAGACCCTGAGGGTCTCCCCTACAACGTGTCCCAGCAGCGTCCACCTGGCAGCCTGTCCCTGCACCGCGCACTGCAGGGACACCACCCTCAGCTGGTGGACTTTGTCAGCCGCTGCCTCCAGTACGAACCACACTCACCCCTCGCTCACCCCCACTCACTCATCCCCACTCACTCGCTCACTCACTCATCCCCACTCGCTCACTCACTCACCCCGACTCACTCACTCGCTCACTCATCCATCCCCACTCACTCACTCATCCCCGCTCGCTCACCCCCGCTCGCTCACCCCCGCCCGCTCACGCCCGCCCGCTCACCCCCGCCTGCTCACCCCCGCTCGCTCATCCCCACTCACTCACTCATCCCCACTCACTCACTCATCCCCACTCACTCACTCATCCCCGCTCGCTCACCCCCGCTCGCTCACCCCCGCCCGCTCACGCCCGCCCGCTCACCCCCGCCTGCTCACCCTCACTCACTCATCCCCACTCACTCACTCATCCCCACTCACTCACTCATCCCCACTCACTCACTCACCCCCGCCCGCTCACCCCCGCTCGCTCACCCCTGCCCGCTCACCCCGCCCGCTAACCCCCGCTCACTCACTCACCCTTACTCACTCATCCCCACTCACTCATCCCCACTCACTCACTCACCCCCGCCCGCTCACCCCCGCTCGCTCACCCCCGCCCCGCTCACCCCTGCCCGCTAACCCCCGCTCACTCATCCCCACTCACTCACTCACTCACTCACTCACCCCCACTCACTCACTCAACCCCACTCACTCATTCATCCCCACTCACTCACTCATCCCCACTCACTCACTCGTCCCCACTCACTCACTCGTCCCCACTCACTCATCCCCACTCACTCACTCACTCATCCCCACTCACTCACTCACTCACCCCCACTCACTCACCCCCACTCACTCATCCCCACTCACCACCCCACACCTGTCAACCCCTTATCAGTGCCCTACCTTACTACAGACCCAACTCAGACCTTTATTGATCACTCCGTGATCCTTACACATCTCAACGTACATCCTGCAAAGTCCCATCACAAGGAACAAACACTAACAAATAGACACAAACATTCTTGTCGTTACCCAGCATTGAAACGGCTACACTCTGTATAACCTGACAACTCAATCTCTCTGCACAAGAACACGGAATAAACCGTGCGGATTGACAGCTCTGCCACCCACTCACCACCCACCACCACTCCCCCCCACCCTCTCCATCTCCCCACTCTCCCCCCACCTCCCACCC